AGGGCTGTTTATGCACAGGGAGACAGCTCAGGGGGCAGGAGTGTATGGAGGGATGGACACTGGGAAGAGGTAACTATGGGGAGGAAGTGGGAGGAGAGTTCTGTGTGGCCACTGCAGCGAATTAGTGAACCCAGCACAGAGGTGGTGGGTGCTGCGGGAGGAACAGTTGGTTATCAGGGTTGGTGAAAGGGCTGGAGGGAGACAGCATAGCTGGCCTCACAGAAATAGGCCTTGGGCCACTGATGGTGATTTTGTCTTCCTCTCAAGGGATTTGAGGAGGTCAGAAGATGCAGCATCCCTGCCCCTTTGGAACAGCACAATGCATACTCCAGAAATTCTCTGGCCTACTGTTCTCTGGTCGTTCTTTTTCCAAGCCACACATGTGCATACCAGTCTTTAGCCAAAGGTTTGCATACCCCTTGCAGCTCTCCAGAGCTCACTGGGCAACTCATTCCTCTCTGATACCTTACCTTGCAAATTCTAGCCATTTCAGCCTCATCAACTCCAATCTCTGCCTCTTCAATTCATTAAGACTACCAGGGCTCTTTTGGCATCTCCTTTTTTTTGTACTGTGGCTTACAAACTGCTTTTCAGGGACCATAGTTCTACACTGTCTGTTGTCCAATGTTTGAAAACAGTTATTTTGGATACTCTGTCTGATTTTCCAGTTGTTTATAGCAGGAGGGTAATTCCCTTGGAAAGATATTCCTCATGGGTGGGAGAGGAAGTACCTACCATTATTTTATTAAATGAAATATATATTTGTAAAACTGGTAAAAGTACAAAGCTCTAAAGTACATTCTAATTGAAAATACATTGTGGACAGATGCTCTTTTGAACCAACATCACTAAACAGAAGTAAAGATTTACTTCAAAGGAATTTTAATCTTTGCCAGGCATAGAAAATTCAGATTAAATTTTTCTACACTGAAAGAAATACCAAAGTGAGAAGCTGAATTTTAAAAGCTTATTACATTTTAATAGATTTTTTTTTTTTTTTCAGTCTTAAGTTGCCTAGCTAGCAAGAGGTTCAGTCTTCATGAGGTGATCTCAAATTCAGACATAGGAAAATTAGCATCATTCAGTACTCAGTCATGCAGAAATGTCATTGCATCCCAATATTTGCTTAAAAACTAGGATAAAATCTTTCTTGCCAAAAGGGACCAGGTCCTTAGTTTTTTACAGGTGGCTTCAGTTTTAGATATGTTACACTGGAACACTGCTCGTCTTTTGCTACCTCCCAGAAGAGTCAGTTTTCTCTGGATCATGCAAAAATATGTACATTCTGTTCTAAGGAAGTTTTCTGCAGGAGAGTAATAGTAGCAGCTCCACTGAGTTGGAGTCTGGTACTTGGCACTCTAATTGGAAAAATGGGGTTTAATAAATTCTTTCCTTTGGAACTCTGCCTCTAAGAGATTTTGCTCATTCTGAATTAAAAATGAAGACTGACACATTCTGGGACTAAAAGATGTTATGAAGTTCCTGGAAGGAACTGAGAATATATTAAAACTATTTGACCAGAGATTTTAGGCTTACCTAGACATAAATGTTCCTTTTGGGCTTAAGAAATCAGAGGCTGTCTGATTAAGAAGCATAACAATAAATATCCAACATAAAATCTAGGTCTTGTTTATGGCACAGGAGAAAGCAGGGGGGATTTGGAGCTGCATTTCCTCAGCAGATGGATGAATCACTGGCAGCTGTTACAAGAAAGATAAAGAAACCAACATCTGCTTAAGAGTCCAAATGCTATATGGATCCCTTGTGATAGTAAATAAATTCTTGATGAGGCTCCACTTCTAAACCAGGAAAAGAATTAGGGATGTCTGAACGACTGTTTTCCATAGTTATCTTCATGTGCTAGGTCAGAGAAACCAGAGTCTAATTCTAGCTGTATGCATCATTCATTAACCTACAGAAAGGATGTTTAACAAATATTTACCTACTGATTAAACCTGGGAAAAACAGGCTTTGATGAAACAGTACAGACTTGACCTATAAACTTGCAGCTCCCAGTTTTGTTTACCTAGAGACCAATGATGTACTTTTTATGAGTTCACTTAAAACTGAGTCGACATTTGTTTTCACCTATAAGTGCACATACTCTGTCAAGGAAATGATGCTATTCTTGGTACACTACGTACTTTTTGCAGCACAGAGCAATGTAATGGATGATCTCTAGAGTTATGTCACAGACAGATGTATGTCACTGAAGCAGTGATTGAGGTATAATTATAGAAGTTATTAGAACATTTTATTAGTAAATCTAGGTTCTATTTCCAGCTTTGCTACTAACCCACTGTACAATGTCTGCAAGTTACACAATTGCATTTTTTTATGAAATAGGTACATTTTCCATATTCCTACCCAGGCGCTCAAGCCAGAAAGCTAGAATTATCACTGGTCTTCTCTCTCCCCATCATGTACCAAATTCAATCACCAAATCCTGTGGATTCTACCTCTTAAAGTGCCTGTCTCCATGGATACTGGTTTAGTTCTGGCTCAGATTATCACTCACCTCAACTGTTTCAAGAGTTTCCTGATTATGTTCCCTGGCTCTGGTCTCGCTCTCTAAGCCATCTTCCACACTGCCTTTAGAGTAGTCTTTTAGAAGTCAGATATCATCACATCATTCCTCTTTCTAAAATCCCCCAAATAATGCTCATAGAATAAAATCCAACTTCTTTATTATGACAAAAAACTGGTCTTCCATGACTTGACTTTTGTGTGTGTGTGTGTGTGTGTGTGATTTGGGTGAAAATTTACAGAGCAAATACTCTTTCCATACAGCAGTTCACATACACTTTGTCTCATGACATTGACCACAATTTAGCACAATGCAACATCTCCCCTCCCCACCTCCTCCTGATAGTTACCTCTTCCCTGTGTCCATCTCTCCATGCACTCCTGCCCCCTGAGCTATCTCCCTGTGCCTGAGGAGCCTTTCTTTCCCTCATGCTTATTCTCTCCAAGGAGTGTATCTATCTCAGGTAAATGCTCAACTGATGTGCCTGTCCATTGTTTGGCTGGAAGCCACAGGTGTGCGTTCAATTCCAGACCTGAAGGGCAGGTAGGGGCCATAGTCTCAGTGGTTACACCAGGCTCCCTCGGAGCAGCAAACCTGTTCCCCGCTTTTTTTTTTTCCAAATGATTTTGAGTTTTGTTCCACATTGTTCCCCCTGTCTATCCAGGATCTACTACAAAGATCCTCTTCCAAGTGGTTGACAGTAGTAGCCAAACACCATCTATTTCTTCTGGTCTCATAGCTGTATAGGCTGCAGATTGGATGGTGTACCAGTTGCTAGGACTAACTGTTTCCATGAATTTTTGGTTTTCTTCATTCTTCTTGGCTCTGGACGAGGAGAGACCCATCGTTACATCTAGATGGCAGCTTTGACTTGACTCTTTTGTTCCTTTACAGGCTCACCTCTCCTAAGTTCTTTCACAAACTCCATGCTCTAGCCATTCTGATCTTCTGGTTTCTTAAACATTCTAGGTACTTTTATGTTTCCACACCATAGCACTTGCTAATCTCTCCACCTAGAATGACCTTCTCTCCTTTATCCATGTGGATAACTCCTACTCTTTCTTCCCAACTTAGATCAAACAGCCAGTTCTCAGGAGACCCTTCTCTAATCCTCTTCTCTCCCCTTTCTCCAACAACAGAATCCCCATTCCACTCCCCACGAAGGAGTTTCTTTGTGCTTTCACTCTTGTATTTACTGAATTGTATTTTAATATTTGCCAAGAGCTGTATTGCCTGAGTAAGAACTGACCCTAGTATTTACTGTGTGACCTTACCAAGTCATTTAATCCCTCTGATCCTCAGTTTCATTAGCTATAAAATGGAGATTACAGTATCTACACAGAAAGCTGCTGTGGGAATTAAATGAGTTACTATATGATGAGTCAGAATCAACTTGATGGCAGTGGATTTGGTTTGGTTATACCTAAAGGGCTCAGAGCAGCACCTGGCTCTTACTAACTATTATTAGTGATGATGGTGGTAGTAGAAATAGTGTGGTAGTATCTATAACACAAGATGGATGACAGGTAAGGTCAAAAATAAGGTGTTCCCTGGAGAGCACGCACTCGAACAGTATTTAAAGAAGAAAATAAAAGACGAAAGCTTGGAAGAAAGAAAGGAAAGAAAGAAGGCATGAAAGAATTTCAGAAGACTTACCGCCATTTTTGCCCACAGTTCTGAAGCATCTCCAGAAGGCTCTTAAGAACGATGCCCTATTGTGGGGGGTGGCTTGGATGAAGCTGAATTCCCGAAAGAGAATATGAGTTCCCTGACACACACTGTTAAAACTGCAAAGAGAAAAATCAAGAAATCATCAGATCAACAGTCACAGAAGGCTGGAATCAGAATGAAATATCAAGGCTAGATAGACCACTGGAAAAAAGGGGGATTTTTCCCCCCACAAAATAGGTTACACAAAATCCATGAATTTTCTACAGCAAGTCTCTTTCTTTTCTTTACACACATCTCTCTAAAAACTCTGAAACTCCAATTTTTCTGAGTGCTCCCCACCTGCCACATTCACACACTGAGGAAGTGGTAGTCAGTCACTGAAGTGGCTTATATAGAGGTGATCAGTCTTTAACTGGGATTACATTCATCTCCTTTTAGAGACTACTTCTCCCTCTACCTCACTCAGAATAACATTTCCTTAAAGATGTTCTTTCTTTACTCTTCCTGACCTACATCAGCTGCCATAAGAAGGACGGGGCTTATGGGGACATTACTGGATTATCTGTTCCAGTTTGAGGGTAGAGCAAACAATGACCTGTTACAAACTCCTGACAGTAACCCCAAGACCAGGTGCCAAAGGATACAGGAGGTTTCATGACATAACATTGAAGGTAAATAAGAAGGACCCATAAGAAAAGAACAAGGGTAGAAAGTGGCCCCTAATGAGAATATGAAGCAAAGCCCCAGGGCCCAAGTGAGTCATAGCTTAAACTGGGCCTGGGATAAGGGAAAAATACACTCCATGGCCTTTGGGTTCTTCTGCCAAAGAAATACAGCAGCTTGGAGTAATCTAAGAATGGAAATTCCACTGAAGAATAGGCAAGTATCCAGTAATCATCCTACCAAGGGTAGCCTTCAGGTTCTAGAAAACGCCTTCATTCTCTGAAAAGTAAATCATGGGTAAAAACAAAACAAAACAAAACAAAAAAAAAACGTTAATCTTTGTGGAGAAGAGGATATTAAACTGAAGATGGGAAGCAATGGAGTTTCAAATGCCAGTTTTCATTTGTTTACCATTTAAAGGGATGGTGGTGTGGGGATGGTGGTGAGGGGGGGAAACCAAATCCTGAATCTTTTAATGTAACAGGAGGAAAATTCAGGAGCCATCTGTTCTATTCCTTTTCTCCCAGACCAACTTCAGGCAAAGTGTCTAACCCACCTATCTTTAACATGGAGTATGTCACCATTTAAGACAAAATTAGCCTCCTCCTGTACACATTAATAATACTGGAAGAAAAAACAAATTAGATATTCTTCTTCCCTCATGAACTAGCATAGCAATCTACTTCCAAGACAACAAGAAGTAGTATGAGGATAACAGCTGACAAAGCTTTAGGCTAGAAGAGAGGTTTTAAAAGAAACAGCAAAAGTGTTAACCTAATCATGCAGTTTGTGGCCATGCTGTTGTCTTGAGCAAAGGAAAATGAAAAATGAAGCAAATGAGCTGTTACAGGTAATGGGGTAGGCCACATTTCTAGCAAATCAAGTCTGAAATTATAATATTCTAGCCTAAATTTATTAAGTTTTCCAGCAAAGAACAAATCTCCAAGGGTCCTTCATACCTTAAGGGGAAAACACTGGAGTCTAGATCATGGTCAAGGCTGCAGGAACTAACAGTAGTGAAATTATATCCCTAGTGTAGCTTTTAAAAGTATATCTATTTTTTAAAACTTGTTGTTGTTGTTAGGTGCTGCCAAGTCGTTTCCAACTAACAGCGATCCCATGCACAGCAGAATGAAACACTGCCCGATCCTGCTGCGCCAGCTCCGTGATCCCTGCTATACCTGA